CTTGGCCAGAGCTCCCAGCCTACTGGAGCTCTGAGACAAAAGGACTTTGCCCTCAGAGAAGAATATATTCTACAAAAGCAATCACCTGCAGCTATGGGTTTGGCTGACCTACCTTCCTTCCTTCCTTCCTTCCTTCCATCCGCAAACACTTTTGGAGCACCTCCTTCTGTTCTGGGTTCTTAGCTTAGACTAAGGGTTTCCCAGGGAAGGCTGAGCTGTCCTGCCTGCAAGGAGTTCACACCTGCTTCCCCCCGCTACTGCTTCTACCACAGTGGCATCATCCCCTGGTGGGCATGGAGCCTGGCACTTAGTAAGAGCACATTCAAATTCTGTTATTTGCTAACTGATGTGGTAAGAAAACAGCTTATAAAACACATCCTTATTAAAATAAATTATTCTCACAGAATTCTTCCTAACCTTCATTAATGCAACCAACACTGGCTCATGCTGTGCCTGGCCCCAGATTGAGGCTCACAGAGGAGAAACTCTGGCCTTGCCCTCCAGGAGATCATAGTGTAGGAGGCCAAAGGCTGCAGGTCAGTGGAACAGGCATGTGGAGTGCAGGGGTAGGGTCCCCTTGGCCACCCACATGCCCAGTTTGGCTATGTTTCTTTGACGCAGCCACTGCAGACACAGAACAAAGCCCAGGTGCCTGGGTTGGTATCCTAGAGCCTGCAGATCCCAGCCCTGGTGACCTCACTGGCCAAGCAGAGTTTGTCCCGAGATTTCCTTCACTCCTACGGCCCGTCTTTCCTCATACTGTCCTTCTGCCAGGAATGCCTTGTTTCCTTAACTCCCTTTCTGGAGGTCAGAACCCTGTGCCCGCTTTAAGGAAGGCCTAGCTCGAGCTAACATTTAAGGGGACCTTTCCTATGTGCCAGCCCTGGTCTTAGCTCTTTATGCCAGTCCTCTCTTTAAACCCTCCTCCTCCTCCCAAAGACCGATCCTTTGCTTGTGCCCTCTGCTGAGCCTGCTGGAGGGCTCAGGCACAGGCTGCTCATACCTGGTGGTCCTTCCCTGGACTGCAAGTCTGAGAGGATGGCCTGGCACCTAGCTCTTAGAAGTTGCTTCCCCTCTGTACCTCCCTGAGCCTCACTGACTCATCTTAAATGGGGATAACAGCACCCCAGTGTTGTGGGAAAGATTACATGAAAGCTTAGGGAACTGTAGAGCACGGTGCTTGACCCACGGTAGGTGCTCAGGGAAACAGCAGTTGAATCAGTACGCTTGCAACAACACTTCCCCTCCACGCCATAAAAACAACCCCCCTCCCACAGTACTTCATTGAATGAATATTTAAGTGCCTACTATGTTCCAGGCTAATTACATGGCTAATGACAAAGTGCAGCTCATGTTATACAAACGCCTGTAAACGTTGCCTCCTTTTGCAAACAAGCCAGAGCCTCATGCTCATTTATCCGGCTTGCTATGGGTATGGGACAGCCCTGGCTCCCATCTGGGCCTGCAGCCAAGCCAAAGTCAGCCTTCTGAAGGTCAACCTGAGAGCCCTTACAATCACATGAGACAGAAAACCAGCCAGAGAGCAGAATGGCCAGGTTCTGATGCCCTCTGGTGTCAGTGTGCTGTCACTGGTAGGACCCTTGTATCCCACCACAGGCCGGGCAAGATAAGGCGCTGAGGTCAGAACTCTCCCACAGGGCAGTGCACTATGTGCAAATCTCAATTTTCTTTTGTGAAGCATGCCCTCAGCTGTTCTGCCTGGAGCTCCACAATCTGTCAGGGTCCTAGGTGCCTACTTGGGTTCCCTGTAATGGCTCTAGATCTCATACTAGTCCTCCACCCTAATGGGAGCCTGGAATCAGGTAAAGATCGGATAGGGCTGAACTCAGCCAGGCTGTGCACGTCTGCACCTGCCCCAGACACTTACAGCCCAATGGCTGCCATACCAGTCTCTGCCACCCCGGCCAACCCCATTCCCCAGGGTCACAACTTGGGTCTCCTACCTTCCCCTCCCAGGAGCCCAGCGCGACCTGAGCCCCATCTAATCTCATCAACAGCCTCTCTGCGCTCTACCACCCTCTCCCTGCTGGCTCAGCGTGGCCACTGCAGCTGAATGGAGAGCTCCTCTACGGCCTAAAGAAACCCCCCCCCCGCCCTTTCCTCCAGAATCCCCTGCTATCCAGACTCCATCCTCCTCCCACAACCTAGCCTCCCCGGGCACAAGACCCTGAAGACCCACTCCCCCACAGTTCTTTGTGCACCCCTTGGCTGCCCTGACTTTCTCTACCCAGAGTTTGGCCTATCTGCCTCTGACAAACCTCCCTGCATGCTGCAAAAGCCTATTAAGATGCCACCAGTGGTATGTGGTTGAGCAGAATGGACCTTGTCCAGGGGCATGAGGCTGCATCAACCTAGAGGGAAGGCTGCCCTTTTAGAAATTCACCCACTGAGACGGGTGCCTCTTTCTACTTTGCCCAGTGGTGCCATATGGCAGAAGTGCCAATCCATTGCTCCTACAGTCCTCTGAGTGCTCACCGCACAGAGACCAACCATGTTTTCCCAGGCCAGGTGCAGCATCTGACTCAGGCTGGATCTATTTTATTTGTTTCCTTGTTTACTACTCAACACACAGGTGGGATCTGGGCTGGCCCAGGACTCAGAGATGGCCTCTTCAGTGGGGAAGAGGACAGAGGCAGCTCTTGTTCTCCTAGGGTTCAGAGCACATGGCTGCCTCTCTCAGACAGACAGTTCTTCCTCCAGGGGGCTTCCTCCTACCCTTCACACCATCCTCTCCCTGCAGTGCCCTGAAGGCAGCCCTTGTCTCCTTAGGGCCAGAAGCACAAAACTCTACTAAAGAGTGACATCGCCTTGAGGGTCGTCTCCCGTTTCTAGCTGAGCCAAAGGGATCTGATAGCTGCCCAGGGACCCTGGAGATTATAAGGCCGAATGTGTTGTCAGTCTTAGCCTAGCAATTCTCTCTCTCTCCCCAGAGAAAGCTGGGGTCCAGGCAAAGTCCCAAGTAAGGTGGACACATGATCTGGGAGTGCCCCTACAGGTGTACGGGGTATTCCATCCAGTGATCACTACTCAGTCTCTTACTCTAATGCCAAGTGTGGCATCTTTGAGGAATTTCCTGTTTGCACTGAGCAGCCGGACCTGTATGTAAGCGGCTGTCACCTGCACCAAGAGTCTCCTTCCCTGACTGCTCCAAGGCCTCCGTACAGTCCCTCAGTGAGGCAGTTCTCCCATTCAGGGAAGCACGTGACCACTTTGGGAAATGCTCCACAATGAAGCAGGACAGAAGGCCAGTTTGAGTCAGTGTCTGCTGAACCCCAATTTCAGACCAAGGACCCAATACTGTGAGGGGCTTTTTCTCAAAGGTTGCTGATTACTCCTGGCACATGTGGCCCTGTGGTCCCCAGACCTCTCCCTGTGGCTGCAGAAGACCAAGGTTCCAGAGAACTGCCCTTGGATCCACCACTGGGTGAAGGCCTACTAAGGGTAGAGCAAAGGGTCCTGGCACTAGAGAAAGGCTCTGAGACCATCACCAGTAAATGGTGGCTGTTGCTATCACCATCCTCCTCCTCCTCATTACTTTGGTAACTCCTGCTCCTTACCTGTGACCCCAGCTCTAGCCCAGACCTTGCCTGCTGGATGAGCACATCAGGCCCAGAGTGGCCCTGCACAGCCCGTCCTCAGACACCGGCAGACAGAAGGAGCTTAGGGAGCTGAAGGGATTAGAGAGGCCTCACTCACTCCCCAGCTCAGGGGAAGTATCCCTGTGGCCCATCTCAGGGCATTGGGGGGGTGGGGTGATTACGTGGCCCACCAACCCTCAAGGTTCAGGCCTGATACCACCATGCACTTAGCAATGATTGCTCAATTAAAACCTCACATCAAATCCCACTCTGCCAGATATTACCCATGTGACACTGGACAAGTCAATTAACCTCTGAACCTCAGTGAGAAAGGGAAAGCACCACCAAACTCCTAGTATTTGCTGTGAATTTTAAATAATGCATGTAAAGTTTCAGGTAAGGATTTCAGAAGGGTTGGCTTCCCCTTCTTTGGCTCATAAAGAACCATATTACCTCCTCTGATGCTGCAGTTTGTGAAATAATAATAAACACTAACATTCTTAGAGTATTTGCTCTGGACTAGGTCCCTTTCAAGGTCATTTTAAGGTTTGAAACTTCACATACCTTATCAGGCTTAAATCTGCACATGGGCAGCCGGAAGTGGAGACCCTGTAGTGGGATTATACCCTGGAGGAACACAACACTCTCAGAGGGGACTGGCTGGTGCAGGCAGCAGAACTGGTGGATGAACGGGCCTGTGGTGAGACCCCAGGTGTGTGTGTGGCCGGGGAGGAGGAGGGAGGAGTGTTGGGCAAGGATTCAGAGAGGGTCCTCACAGCCTCCTAAAAGGACGCAGGGGCGAGGAGCTGACTCCGGTGAGGGGGAGGGGAGAAGGCTGGGAGCAGTGGGGACACAAACACTGGGCAGAGCTGAGGAGTCAGGTGAACACCCTTTTACAGAAATCTTGCGAAGATTTCTGGCTCAAGGGTAGGCAGTGAGGGGTCTTGAGGAGACCCCTGCCCAGGATCAGGAGGCCCCAGGTCGGTGCTGGTTATGTCTCCGATCTGCATTAAAACGTCGGGGACCAACACCCTAGGTTTCTGGATACTGGGGATGGACAAGGATGCACCACGTCTGTCCCTTGGGGGACGGGTGGGCTCGGCCTAGTCTGATCACCGATGAAGCTCGCTATAAGGGGAGAAGGTGCGAGAACTGGAGCGAGGTTGTGCGGTCCTGAGAGCAAGGCCCCTCATTTCCGCACACCTAGCTGCTTCTCAAACCCGACCCGGAGCCCGCCAGAATTTGAGGGGGTGGGGGGACGACCTGGGAGGCCCGGGTCGTGGGAGGAGGCTTGAAGGGACGGCTCAGCAGCGGGGACTGGGGGCTCACTTCCACCCGGGGCCAAGATCCCACAGCGCGCTGGGGATGGGGGTCTGGGACGAGGACAGAACGGGGACTTACCCGCGAACAGCCAGAGGGATCCCCCGGAGACGAGGAAGAAGGTCAGCATGTCGGTGAGCGGGGCCCAGCGTGGCCCCGC